GAGGATAGACAGCAGGATCAGCCCATTCAGCCTGAGGTAGTGGTAAGAGCTAGTGGCCCGCTGCTACTTTGCTTCCCTCATCTTTAGCTTGAGCCCCAATATCTGTCTCTAGGACTTTTATTCTTCATGTTACCTTCTCTCACTGAGTTATGTCTACCTAGCCCCCTAATGTTCTCTTTCTACCTCTCTACATTCAGGTGTACAATGTGCCCACAAGCTAGGAAGACTTCCACACTAGAATTATTAACCAATTTTATAGGATCCTTTTCTATTCATACCATTCACAAATAACTAAGCAGCCCGGATAGTTTATTTGATGACGAAAAGTATGGAGGCACCTTTTCCCTGAGCAGGACTAGGGTGTTAGATTTTATTAGGACTGAGTTACAAGGGATGGCGTGTGCCAGCTCTCCTCAGAGATCTCCTTTCCGTCATTTTATTATGGGGAGAGGATGCACTACTAGGGATTGAACCTGGGATCTCCAGCATGCTAGACAAAAACTCTACCGCTGCTACATTATCAGAGCTTTTCATGGAGAAAGTTTCCAAGCATCAGGGTACCACCTCTTTTTCCCCTAATTTATTCATTCCTGGATCTGTCCTGGCACCAATGGGTGTGCTATTATCATAATGAGTTTAAGGTCCTCGGAGTTCCTTTCTTTTCTCTTGCTTGCTGTCTTTTTTTCTCTAGACAGGGTTTTGTAAGCAAGTGTGAGTGTTACAGCTCTGGAGTTTCAAAAGTGTCCTGACTTGTTGGGAAGCCAGGCTACCTGAAGCTGGAGTGTAGTGGGGGTTGGTCTCCCTACAGGATATAGCAATCCTGCTCCTCTCCTAGAGAGGGCCATTACAGCTAAGCTCTGTTCGGTTCTTCTTCGCCTGCAGTCTGCTACAGGGGAAGCCCCTGCAGAAATGTAATAATCTGCACCTGCAAGTGAAGATCTTCACCCGACACTCTACTGAGAAAGATTTGTTTGGGAAGGAGGAGTCCAGGACAGTGGCTGCCTCTGCCAAGGTGGGAAAGGAAAGCCAGCAACTGAAGAAGCATTAGGGCTGATATAAGGCTTCTTGCAGGCAGGGTATTCCCAGGGAGAGGTTTTTCTGGTCATGGGTTGGTTAGATTTTCCTGCTCAGAGATTGGTTTAGTGGGTTAGAGGCAGAGATGGCTCTGATTTCAGGGCAAACTGTGTTTCTTTCACTGGTCCTTTTTAGCCTTTTGGCTCTAATTTTAGGGCCTGGGTGTATTTCTTTCACTGGCTCTGATTCTAGAGACAAAGTGTGTTTCTTTGGCACTGGCTTCTAAGTCAAGATGTTTTTCTTTGGTTCTGGGTTCAGGAATAAAGTGTTTCAGTGGTTCAGGATTCAGATCCTGAGTGTATTTCTTTCACTGGCTCTGAGTTCAGAGTCAGGGTGCTCTGGGACTGGTTGGTTTTGTGTTTCAGTTGACCCAGGTGTCAGGGCCAAAGTGGGTTTCTTTGCCCAGCCCTTTTACCCCACAAGTTTCTCTGTGTAGTTTTGGAGCCTGTCCTGGAACTTGGTCTGTAGACCAGGCTGGCCTTTAATTTACAGAGATTCCCTTTGCTCTACCTCCTAAGTGCAAGGACCATCTGGCTGGTCCTTGGGGTTTCAGTACGGCTTTTGAATAAGGTAGAGCCAGTCTATTGTTCTGCTGGGGAGTGAGGGTGATCATTAGGGCACTTAATAGGTGCCAGTTGGAAGCAAGACAGATGAGAGAAACCCATCTCTTCTTGGAGCATTAGACAGGTGTTGGGCACTGGGGAAGCATGTCAGCATCTGTTAAAATCACTCTTGTGTTTAGCAAATCTTATTTATTTATATTTTATGTATGAGTACTCTACATGTATACCTGCATGCCAGAAGAAGGCATCAGATCTCATTATAAATGGTGTGGCTGCCTTGACTGGTGCTCGTACCAACCACTCAGATCCCTCTTGAGTCACCCACCATCTTCATTGCTGCTTCCACCATCTTTTGGGGGGAGAGTCAGGCACAGGATTTCTTTGTGTAGCCCTGGCTGTCCTGGAACTCTCTTTGTAGAACAGACCTGTCTTGAATTCTCAGAGATCCGCCTGTTTCTGCCTCCTGTTGTAGGAATCTAACAGATTCACTGTATATAGGGTAATCATTAGGACAGAATAGTTGTACTTTAACCTTAAATAAATCTTGGTGGAAATCCGTGATTGTTTTCTGTGATTTATAGAGTTGTTTTTCTGAAGCAGCTTTAGAGCCTTTGGATGACTTTGGTCACAAGACACTCCTGGCACATCACAGCTCTTGGATTATTGGGTACTGCAAACATAATAAGAACTAAAGTAGCTGGGGTGTGATGCTTTCCTTCAGAAAAACATATAGAGACTTTGGTATGAGGAACTTGTTTACCCAAGAAAATCTTTGTGCAGCAATCAATAACTATGCCTTTGTACAGCTGTTCAAGGTTCAGTCCATCAGAGGCTAGACCTCCCTGCTGCCACACAGGCCTAAAAAATTCATTTTAGAATGACCTTTTTCTTTGGCCGACCCATGCAACACAGAACACCCAACAGCCTTCCCAGTGCTGGCATTAAAGGTGTGCACCATCACCATCCGACATTCCTTCCTCCAGCGTAACTCTGCCAACTCTTATTGAAAAGCTAAAAGAACAAAAAACAACACAAAACCAAAAACCCTCCAGTTGAGAAGCTACCAGGTGGACCTACAGCACCAGCTGAGGCTCATGGGGAGAAGTCTCATGGCCAGCCCACTAGGTGAACCTAAGCAGCCTGAGAAGGATGTTTGGACCAATGATCAACCATAGCCATTTGCTTTGGACAAACTTCAGCTATGTGTTTTGGACCAATCAGTCTTGCCTTGTGAGAGACACTGAGATTTGTGCTTGGATTCGGACTGTCGTCTTGTCTCTTAGCACCAATCACCGTCATCTTTTTTGCTAGAGCACAAGGAGATATGTTCCCCCTCTTCTGAGATGGAAATGGCTGCAAGATTATTCAGAGTTCACTGATGCTCTTGATAAGCAATAAGATGGTATAACAGATCTTCCAACAGCCCTCCCCAGAGCTGTGCCTTCAGGTTATGATTGTTAGTTTTTTCCAGGTATCTGTGGAGTGTTCCAGCTGGCTGGTGCTGGCATAATCCAGTTCAGCTGGCTGTTTGACTGCCAGTTCTAGTACATAAGGCAGCAGTATAAAGTCCACCAGCTGTTACTTTGGGAACTAGAATTGCCCCATTCCCCAAAGGCTGTGCTTATTTGCAGGAAAATGAAGCAGAAGGAGCGTTTACAATAAGAACCTGAAGAACTTATCATTAACATCTAATAGTGAGTTTAACAGATGTTTACAATGCTCTACAGATGCCCACCGCCTGCTCAGAAAGACGTGGACTCTCTTTGTCTCATTGGCATAGTATAATAGGGTGGCAGTGATGGCTTGTGCAAAATAAATTCATGAATGGACATCCATGCTCCTGTAAGCAACCCTAAAAAAAATCATAAAAAAAAAAATGAAATCCGGGGCTGGAGAGATGGCTCAGCAGTTAAGAGCACTGACTGTTCTTCCAAAGGTCCTGAGTTCAATTCCCAGCAACCACATAGGGGCTCACAACCACCTTGAATGAGATCTGGTGCTCTCTGCTGGCATGCAGGCAGAAGACTGTATAGACTGTATTCATAATAAATAAATAAAATCTTTAAAAAAATTTAAAAAATGAAATCCTTAAAAAATCATAAGAAAAAAAGGGGGGCTAGAGAGAGGTTTCAGTAGTTAGGAGTACTTGCTGCTCTTCCCGAGGATCCCAGTTCAGTCCCCAGCACCCACATCAGGTATCTCACAACCACATGCAGCTCCAGTTCCAGGAGACCAAACGCCTTTCTCTGTTCTTTGCAGATGCCTGCATGCATGTACACAAAAAACATACAAAGTTTAAAATAGAGTAAAATATTTTAAGTTTTTAAAAAATGTTTAAAATAGCCGGGCGTTGGTGGCACACGCCTTTAATCCCAGCACTCGGGAGGCAGAGGCAGACGGATCTCTGTGAGTTCGAGGCCAGCCTGGTCTCCAGAGCTAGTGCCAGGATAGGCTCCAAAGCTACACAGAGAAACCCTGTCCCGAAAA